ACACATACCTGGATCATAAACAGATCACACTAGATACAATATTGTGTGAAACTAAATGTTGTTGTCAAGGTTTGACCAAAACGGATGCATTTCCAATATTCAACACTTGCTCTTCTTCAAGGAATGCAAGGCCTTTAATTTCCCTTTTGTTCTCTTTGGTTCCTGTGGCTCATTTCTCAGTGTTATCCCAACTCTCCTCTTCTGTTCAATGTTGCTGCAACACAGAAGACAACACTGCCTGACTCACGTAGTAATTCCCTTTTCACACATCGATTTCCACCCGTCTTTCTCTCAGTCCCTTCTCTGCGTTCCTTGTTTCCTCAGCTGTCACTTCCCCTTCACAAGCCACATTCAGCTGCCTGTCGCCACTGGGGGCTGGTTTTTAACAGTTTCGTGTCATGTTTTAATAATTCCAGCGAGAGGAGTCAGGGAACGAACGATGCAAAGACAGCGTGTGAGTGTGTGAGGAAGATGGAGAGAGCAAGATGATGATGGCTGGTAAAACGGACCCTCTCAGCAAGCTCCTATTAAAATTCATGATGGTTTTAAATATATGTAGACCCCTGCAGAACAGTCCTGGGTTTCCTTTCTGCTGCCTTCCGTTGAGTTCACTGCACGGCTGCAGGCACGACGACTTCAACTACTGCACCAGAGATGTCTGTGATTGAGTTACACGTACTGCACAGGTGGCTGGTGAAAAAGCCAAGTTGTCAAAACTGGAGGCCTTTTAAACGTCAAGGAATATAGCATGAAGATTATGGCTAAGCTTGCATCTATGCTAACTGTTAGTTTATTTTTTAACAGAATGCTCCTTGAGTTGAAAATGCTGAACAAATGCCTGAGCATCTAAATATATGGAAACGTTTTAAAACATCGCTTCTGGATATGGGTGTCTAAAGACTGTCGGGGGTGGAGGAGTGACTCGGAGTTTGAAACGTCTAAAACTTTCCTTTGACAGCAGGAGATAATGAAACATTGGCTCTTGCCAAAACACATCAGCAAATATTCAAATGTCTCCTTAGATGACAAAAGTATAACCTTTACACAAAGACAGATAGACAGACAGCCAGATATTTCTAGACAGGTAAGCTTGTTTTCTGCTCATGTAGACATAAATATGCTGATTAATTTGTTTGTGTTAAAGAAAGAAAAAACCTCCAAGGTCACTGAAATACGGTTTGTAAGCTCAATCATCCAGGTAGATGACAATAAAAAAGGTTAAATTATGTCATCTGGACCAGTTTCTTTAAGTGAGAAACATTTCTCATTTCTGTGAGTAGCAAGTTGTCCATCTGTCCTGAAACATTTGATTGTTGTACATGATGATTGATGGTTTTGGGCGGGTGTGCTCTGTTTGCTCGTGTTAAAAGCCTGCTGATGAAGTCCTCTGGATGGGAGACTAAATGTTTCTCATTTAAAGAAAGTGGTCCAGATGACATGATTTAACCTTTTTTGTTGTCACTGAAATAACTTGTAACTGCCAAAAGGAAAAGTACATTTTTTTATTTTACTAAAATTCAACTAATATAAATAATGGGTCACTGCTTTTTTTTTTTTTTTTTTTGTTAAACAGATATTTAAAAAGCCTAGCTTTGATTAAAAAGTATGGTACCATTAAATAATATTTTGATTCACAACCTTTTGAAGGGATTTCTGGAATTCTCTCTGAGACTTTTGTACCACGGGTATTTCCACTCCTCATGAGCAAACGGCTCCAGCTGTTTGAAGGCTTTCCTCTCTAAACTGCATGTTTCAGCTCCTTCCATAGATGTTTGACAGAATTTAAATCAGAGCTTAGAAGTCCACTTCAGGATGGTTCAATGATTGTTTTTATCCATCCTTGGGTGTCCATCCATCCTTTATCCTGTTGGAAGAACCATGACCTGTGACTGACCCCAAGCTTTGACACTGGGCAGAACATTTGTCTTGAGATTTCAATGTACCTGACCCAGATTCAAAACACCCTGTTCCAGATGCAGCAAAGCAGCCCCAGAACAGATCTAATCCTCCTCCATGTTTCCTTGTAGGTACAATGTCTGTTTTCTTATATGTTTTTTGTTTTGTCCTGTGAATATGGAGCTGATGGGACTTGTGTCAGAAAGCCCCAGTTTTGCCTCATCTGTCCAAAGGACATTCTCCCAGAATCACT